TGCGTGTGCGCGTGCGAGTGGCAGGGCAGGGGCTAGGTCTCAAGATCTGTGTGTGCGTGTGCGTGTGTGAGCGGCAGGGCAGAGGCTAGGTCTCAAGATCTGCGTGTGCATGTGCATGTGCATGTGCGAGCGGCAGGGCAGGGGCTAGGTCTCAAGATCTGCGTGTGCATGTGCATGTGCATGTGCGAGCGGCAGGGCAGGGGCTAGGTCTCAAGATCTGCGTGTGCGTGTGCGTGTGCGAGCGGCAGGGCAGGGGCTAGGTCTCAAGATCTGCGTGTGCGTGTGCGTGTGCGAGTGCGAGCGGCAGGGCAGGGGCTAGGTCTCAAGATCTGCGTGTGCGTGTGCGTGTGCGAGCGGCAGGGCAGGGGCTAGGTCTCAAGATCTGCGTGTGCGTGTGCGAGCGGCAGGGCAGGAGCTAGGTCTCAAGATCTGTGTGTGCGTGTGCGTGTGCGAGCGGCAGGGCAGAGGCTAGGTCTCAAGATCTGCGTGTGCATGTGCATGTGCGAGCGGCAGGGCAGGGGCTAGGTCTCAAGATCTGCGTGTGCATGTGCATGTGCATGTGCGAGCGGCAGGGCAGGGGCTAGGTCTCAAGATCTGCGTGTGCGTGTGCGTGTGCGAGCGGCAGGGCAGGGGCTAGGTCTCAAGATCTGCGTGTGCGCGTGCGAGTGGCAGGGCAGGGGCTAGGTCTCAAGATCTGTGTGTGCGTGTGCGTGTGCGAGCGGCAGGGCAGAGGCTAGGTCTCAAGATCTGCGTGTGCGTGTGCGAGCGGCAGGGCAGGGGCTAGGTCTCAAGATCTGCGTGTGCGTGTGCGTGTGCGAGCGGCAGGGCAGGGGCTAGGTCTCAAGATCTGCGTGTGCGTGTGCTAGTGGCAGGGCAGGGGCTAGGTCTCAAGATCTGCGTGTGCGTGTGCGAGCGGCAGAGCAGGGGCTAGGTCTCAAGATCTGCGTGTGCGTGTGCGAGCGGCAGGGCAGGGGCTAGGTCTCAAGATCTGTGTGTGCGTGTGCGAGCGGCAGAGCAGGGGCTAGGTCTCAAGATCTGCGTGTGCGTGTGCGAGCGGCAGGGCAGGGGCTAGGTCTCAAGATCTGCGTGTGCGTGTGCGTGTGCGTGTGCGAGCGGCAGGGCAGGGGCTAGGTCTCAAGATCTGCGTGTGCGCGTGCAAGTGGCAGGGCAGGGGCTAGGTCTCAAGATCTGTGTGTGCGTGTGCGTGTGCGAGCGGCAGGGCAGGGGCTAGGTCTCAAGATCTGCGTGTGCGTGTGCGTGTGCGTGTGCGAGCGGCAGGGCAGGGGCTAGGTCTCAAGATCTGCGTGTGCGTGTGCGTGTGCGAGCGGCAGGGCAGGGGCTAGGTCTCAAGATCTGCGTGTGCGTGTGTGTGTGCGAGCGGCAGGGCAGGGGCTAGGTCTCAAGATCTGCGTGTGTGTGTGCGCGTGCGAGCGGCAGGGCAGGGGCTAGGTCTCAAGATCTGCGTGTGCGTGTGCGTGTGCGTGTGCGTGTGCGAGCGGCAGGGCAGGGGCTAGGTCTCAAGATCTGCGTGTGTGTGTGCGTGTGCGAGCAGCAGGGCAGGGGCTAGGTCTCAAGATCTGCGTGTGTGCGTGCGTGTGCGAGCGGCAGGGCAGAGGCTAGGTCTCAAGATCTGCGTGTGCGTGTGCATGTGTGAGCGGCAGGGCAGGGGCTAGGTCTCAAGATCTGCGTGTGTGTGTGCGCGTGCGAGCGGCAGGGCAGGGGCTAGGTCTCAAGATCTGCGTGTGCGTGTGCGTGTGCGAGCAGCAGGGCAGGGGCTAGGTCTCAAGATCTGCGTGTGCGTGTGCGTGTGCGAGCAGCAGGGCAGGGGCTAGGTCTCAAGATCTGCGTGTGTGTGTGCGTGTGCGAGTGGCAGGGCAGGGGCTAGGTCTCAAGATCTGCGTGTGCGTGTGTGTGTGCGAGCGGCAGGGCAGGGGCTAGGTCTCAAGATCTGCGTGTGTGTGTGCGCGTGCGAGCGGCAGGGCAGGGGCTAGGTCTCAAGATCTGCGTGTGCGTGTGCGCGTGCGAGCGGCAGGGCAGGGGCTAGGTCTCAAGATCTGCATGTGTGTGTGCGTGTGCGAGCGGCAGGGCAGAGGCTAGGTCTCAAGATCTGCGTGTGCGTGTGCGTGTGCGAGCGGCAGGGCAGGGGCTAGGTCTCAAGATCTGCGTGTGCGTGTGCGTGTGCGAGTGGCAGGGCAGGGGCTAGGTCTCAAGATATGCGTGTGCGTGTGCATATGCGAGCGGTAGGGCAGGGGCTAGGTCTCAAGATCTGCGTGTGCGTGTGCGTGTGCGAGTGGCAGGGCAGGGGCTAGGTCTCAAGATCTGCGTGTGCGTGTGCGTATGCGTGTGCGAGTGGCAGGGCAGGGGCTAGGTCTCAAGATCTGCGTGTGCGTGTGCGTGTGCGAGCGGCAGGGCAGGGGCTAGGTCTCAAGATCTGCGTCTGCGTGTGCGTGTGCAGGTGGCAGGGCAGGGGCTAGGTCTCAAGATCTGCGTGTGCGTGTGCGTGTGCGAGTGGCAGGGCAGGGGCTAGGTCTCAAGATCTGCGTGTGCGTGTGCTTGTGCGAGCGGTAGGGCAGGGGCTAGGTCTCAAGATCTGCGTGTGCGTGTGCGTGTGCGAGTGGCAGGGCAGGGGCTAGGTCTCAAGATCTGCGTGTGCGTGTGCTTGTGCGAGCGGTAGGGCAGGGGCTAGGTCTCAAGATCTGTGTGTGTGTGTGCGTGTGCGTGTGCGAGTGGCAGGGCAGGGGCTAGGTCTCAAGATTTGCGTGTGCGTGTGCATGTGCGAGCGGTAGGGCAGGGGCTAGGTCTCAAGATCAAGACAGTCCAGTATGCGAAAGTCGCAGAAAACAGGGCATGGACTCGTTTACCAAACACACATACAGCTCAGAATGAGGGAAAAGGCCAAATGAGCATGCCTGGTTCACCGTTTCCCGCGCGACTGGCATCCACTAGCTTAGTTAGAGACCACTTTCATTCACTGCTGTTCACCCTGTTCCGTCGACAGTGTTCTCTGAGAACGCAAGGCCCGTCCCCAGCGCACCCTGCGTCCGTGCCTCCCACCGAGAGATGACGGGCTCGGTAAAATTACTAGACGGCATTTTTCCATTGTGGGCACAAAAATCTCTACTAAAGTGGTACATACTTCTCAAACGGTTTGCTCAGTGGTTAGAGCATCAGCCCTCTGACCGAAGGGTCTCTGGTTCAAGGGCATGTACCTGGGTCACAGGTTCGACCCCTGGCCCTGGCTGGGGTCATTCAGAAGGCGCCCAGTCGATGAGTCTCTCTCACATCGATCTCTCCCTCCCTCCCTGCCTCCCACTCTCTCTGAAACTCAATGGAAAAGTTCCCTCAGGTGAGGATTAACAACCACAAAAGCTGCCTGTGTACATGAGGCAGCTTCGGCTCCGTGGGCCGCCCCCTCGCGGGTCCCAGCAAGGCCCTCACTGCCCGCACCGCGGCCCCCGTGGTGAAGAAAGGTCAGCACCTAGTGTGGACCTCGCGCCAGGAGACAGCGACGCGGAGACGCCACACGACCGGAACTGCCCAGGTGTGAGCGAAATCAGCACAAATTCTAGCGTGGGGTCTCGCACACCTCAGGTGGGGTGGACTCTGCGGCTCAAGGACAAATCTCTGCAGTGACAGAATCTGGGGCCTCTGCGGGCTGGGCTCAGAGGGGGGCTGCTCCCACTTCCCGGAGCGACCAGGGCGGCGAGGAAGAGGAACAAGACAGCTCCTGAGGCCACACTGTCCTCGGGGCAGAAAGACACGCGGAGGGTCACAGGACCCGCTGGCCTGGAAAGTAGTTTGTTGTAAAACAGAGCGTAGGGCCCAAGTCAGTCAGATCTCAGAGCACTGCCGCCGGCATTTAGTCGGAAGAGGGAAACGATGAAATTGAAACAAGAAATAAACAAAAAATTAGTTTGTAAAAAATGAACTTTACAAATATACCTCAAATCAGGGCCCATCCTCTGATTCTAACAGGCCTGGGGCCCGACATCCCAAGCGTCGCGACCTGAATGTTACGTCCGCTTCTCATCCACAGAACAAGCTTCTACAAAGTGCCTCTTTCACTCTGCGTGCAACCCTGGAGCCCACACAACAAACAAGACCAAGCCGTGCTCCCGAGGCATCGCCTGGTAGAAATATCAATGTAACCCTGCACAGAGTGGTACCATTTGAGCTGGGTTTTGAAGGATGAATAGGAGTTTTCTGAGAGAAGAAAGAAAAGCTTGGCGTTCCAGACAATTGGAAATGAAAGAGCAAACGAATGGCACGATGCAAGTGCCTGCTCTGCCCGGGGAGCAAGGAGCAGTGCAGCACCCCCAGAGCAGCACAGCCCAAGCTCCCGTCGCCACACCCCGCCTCACAACCTTCTCCATCATCTATACCACTTAATGACTTTTCCCTTATGTTTTTCTTTAAAAATCAGCTTGCTTTTTAAAGCTTACCTTAATCCCATCTGAGATGATAATATCCATTAATTTATGGGCTTGACGTGCTACTTAAATCTTTCCAAGAAATAATGACACACTATTAAAGCAAAAAGTATCCTTCCATGAACCTGGAGCTAAGTCCTCTTGTGTCCCAGCCATGTTTCCTAAGCTAGAAACTTCAAGGCCTGTGTTGTTTGAACTGGAATCTGACCAAAGGAAAACATAAATGCGAACATTAGTGGCAAAAATGGCTTTAATTAGCCACTCTGTTAGCAGAGTGCTCCCTGGGGATGTCAGGACCCCCCAAAAGGCCCTGCCCCCTCCACAGGCAGCCACTAAGCACCTGGTGGTCTGAGCTCCCAGGGTTGCGTGTGACCCTCCATCAGGACATTCTTCCATCTGACTTTCATTTCCAATTTGAAAAACAGGCATTAACAGTACTTCAGTAATTTATTACACAACCTCTTAAAAGTTTAAACGTATACTTCATTAAACACAAGAGCCTAAACTAGGTCAGCGGGCAGCGTGACTCCCCCGGACAGTGGGCAGAGGGCACGCCGCCACGGTCCTCACCTCCGTGCACGAAGCCGTGCAGCGTGCAGTCCGAAGGCCCCACCAGGTGGATCAGGCTGGACTGGCTGTAGCTGACGGTGTTCGGCTCTGGAATGGCAAAGCAGGCAGGTTAGGCCAGGGCACAGGCGGATTCCCACGGCTGAACGGCCTGATAAGGCCGACACGCCTGGCGTTTGCCTGGTCACGAGGGCTGACCGTCCGCTTAGACCTGGGATCTCTAAGGAAAACTGTGGTCTCAAAACAGGCCCCAGTTGGTAAAGGGAAGGCTTTCGAGGATTAATTAGCCACTCTGTTAGGGGGTCATGATGTCACCCCCTGGGGACACTGGTGTCCCCAGCAAGACCCTGCTCCATCCACGGGCAGCCAGTTAACACCTGGTGGCCTGAGCTCCCAGGGTTGGTGTGACCCTGTTTGGACAGTGTTCCATCTGACCGCCATTCCCGATTTTATAAACAGGTGCCAATAGTCTTCCAGGAATTTGTTGTGCAACCTCCCCCAAACTTCAACTTATTTCATCTTCAGTTTCACTACAATGGTGAACAGAGACTCGGAATCTGATACAGCGTTGCAGACTCGGTCTCCGTGGACCCACCACCGCGGCCCACCCTCGGTCCCTGGCCGGGCCAGGGAGACACAGCACCCAAAGGTGCGCCCGCTCCCCCCCCCACGGCCAGCCCTCTGCCCCCTTCGCCTTCCGAGTGGCGAATGCCTCCCGCCGTCGACACTGCCGATGAAGCACCGACATGAAACGCGGCCCAGCCTCCAGAAGGCGGACATTACCCCTGGAGCCCACTCCCCCCAGGCGTGGGCACACCGGTCGAGGGCCTTCTGAGCAGACCCCTGCCTCCCCACAGCCTCTGGACAGAAATGACACTTGTCTGTTTCCTGCCCGGACAGCACCCTCCGAAGGGCGGCCGTTCCCACCCCGGCAATGCGGGGCTGCCGAGTGGGCCAGCCCGCCGGACACGCCTCGGGTGGACAAAGGTCTTTTCTGTATTTGGCCAGAGACAGAGTCCGTGGGAGGAGCGGTGCTGCTGAGCTGGGGGCTGGAGGGGGCACCCGAGGCCCCCTAAGCCTCAGCGATGGCCCTCGAGACTGTCTGAGCTCCTCCATGGGGGATTCCAAACTGTGGCTGCCTGGGGGTCACGAAGCAGGGGAACTGGAGCTCAAGCGAGGCCTAAGTATTGACTTCCCCACAGACCCTCTGGCTGTTCTCCAGCCTCACGGCGCAGACTCAGACTCGGGTCTCCAGCTGGCGTCTGAGCGGCACCTGGGCTGAGGGGCTGTGCGGGAGGAGAGGGAGCCACAACCCTGCCCGGGAGCCCAAAGGAGCCCGTGGCATCAGAAGCCGCACAGCGGCTCAGGATCTGGAGCGGGGTCTCATTTCCATCCGCACTCACTTCCCATCCTCCCGGCCCCAGGGTGCGACACCGGCCCTGTGCCGGGAGGTCCGTGCTGGGATACAGGGAGCAGCAGAGGCTACAGACAAATACAAACCTCCCCTTTCTATGTTTCCAGCTAAGGAAACCAAGGAGAGGTTGAACCCCTGAGAGGCCGGAGTGGGATTGTGACCCCAGAACCTACCTCCGTCCCTGCCCAGCCCCCACCTCACTGCCCCTCAGAACCAGAGCTGATGGCAGCAGGATGACAGGGCCCGTCCAGACCCGGGAGAAGGCACGTGCTCCCTCGCTGGGCGAGCCCATGGTGGGCAGGGGACTAGGCAGGGCTCATTTTGCTGCAAACCCGGCAGCCCCAGGACGAATGGGCAGTCCTATGGTCACACAGTCCCCATGCAGCCACAGCCGGGTAACCGACGGCTGTGGACCGAACAGTTCAAGGCAACTGTATTTTCTCTTGTCAGATGAAGAAAACAGTAAGAAAAACTGGGTTTTAAGGAACTCCCAGACTCTGAAAAGACATCAAGTCGAGGTTGGTCCCTTGTGGGGTGAAATCTGGTTCTGATTTTAAAAGGGGCAGAGAGCTGCAGATAGGGGGGACTTCTGGGTGGAAGGTGGGACGAAGGGCCCTAGAGGTGTCGCCCTGCAGAACCCAGCAGGGAACAGGGACACTCATCACAGGAGCGTCACACAGAGGCGGGACACGGAGCACGTTCCCGAGAACCCTTGTCACACAGACGGAGTGTGTCACCCTGTGCCGGAGGGGTGCCGCACGCTGCCGGAGGCCTCCACCCCCAGGCTCACCGAGTCCCAGAGGCCCCGCCCTGAGTGTATCTGCATCTGCGCAGCAGGGACTTCTCTGCTTCTCCATCAAGGATGGGGCGGGGAGGGGCTCTCTGGAGGAAGACATCCCCTGACCTACAGTCTGGGTTTGGGGCGGCCTTGAAGGACGAAAGAAGGCAGGACGCCCTGCAGGAGGCCGTGGGCCCGCGGAGCCCTCTCAGCCACGGAGAAAGCTGCTGCCGTGGTCTACACCAGGCGGAATCCCACGCTCCGCAGGCGCTGGGGGCAGAGACCCAACCAGGCCCGCTAACAGGTGTCTGCCTGGCGGTGAAGCCCACCACGTGGGCACGGGCCTCCCGGGACTAGCCGAGCCCTCCAGTCACCCCAGTGGCTGAGACACCAGGAAGGGGTCTGGATGGCACACTGACCCCAAGAGGACGTTCATGAACCGGCCACCTTTGTCATCGGCTGACGGACATCAGCCATCTACGGCTTTACCTGGGTTCAGGATAGGCTGGGTGATGTCTCCGTTCCTCCACTTGGTCTGCATGCGCTCCAGCTTCTGGGCCTCGTACCGCCTGCGGCCCTCCTCTTCCTGCTCCTGCCGGGAGTACTGCGGGGCAGACAGGGCTCAGAGTTCTCCTTTCTATGACTGGGACTACCCTTCCTCTGATAACACGTATTTAATGTGAACAGCGAAACCACAGAGAGGGAAGGTGAACACCTCAGGGAGTGCCGCACCCCAACCCAAGGTTATAGCCTTCCTGAAATCATTTTTATACCCGTGTGTATATAAAACTTCTATCATGCTTTCTGTGAAGTTTAAAAGTGACAGTATTTTGCCCGGCTGGTGTGGCTCAGTGGATTGAGCGTCGGTCCCATGGACTCAGAGGTCCTGGTTGGATTCCCCATCAGGGCACATGCCCGGGTTTCATGCTCGATCCCCAGCAGGGGGCGTGTAGGAGGCATTTGATAGATGTTGCTCTCTCATCAATATTTCTCTTTCCCTCTCCCAACAAAATCAATTAAAAAACATATTTAAAAGAAGGGGAAGGGGCATTTAGCTTCTAGTTTTTCCTGTTAAAATGATACCACACAGACAGCCTCGGCCGCTCACGCTGCACACCGGCCCGTTCCTTCCTAGGGCAGTGCCTGGACAGACACAGATCCAGGCTGCAACCCCCGCCCCCCAGCAGGCTCCTCGACCCCATCCCTCCGGAGCCTGCCGCTGACCCTGCCTACCCAGGGCCCCGGGACGGACACAGTGAAGCCCTCCACGCAAAGACACGTCTGTCCACAGCAAAACCGAACTGAGAGACAAGGAAAGGCTGAGCTGTCTTCACCTCCGTCTCCTCGGGGGCCCCCGGGACGGAGAGGGGCAGAGGCTGGCCTGGGCGGGGTGGCCGGGCAACCCTGGCTCTCAGCACATGACAACTCATGAGCAGGAACTGCGTTTAAACTGGAATCAGAGGCTCTCAGGCCCCCCACTCATCACCAGTTTCCCCAAACAGGAAGGAATACTCTCCCCTCCAACAGGAGGCGTTTCCTACTCTCCCGCCAAGGAGGACGAACTCCTGGCCAGACACCCACTCAGCCAATGAGAAGCCACCTCTCTGGGGACTCCCAGTCTCTTCCAATGGACTCTCTGCTTACAACAGGCTTCTGCACGCCCCTCTGCGCTGTAAAAGAGCCTGCCTCTCCTTTGCTCTCTGGACTGTGGGGGGTTGTGAGAGTTTGCCTTAGACTGTATGCGCCAAATTACAATTCTTTGTTGTCCTTGAATAAACCCAGTTTGCTGGAGAAATGTCTGGCTGTCTGTTTAAGGTCAACAGGCAGATGGCCCCCTCACCAGGCACGGCCCTGTCGCCTGCCTTTTCTCTGGCTGGAGCGTGTGCTAAGGGTCCTGGGAGGAGTGTCCATGGGTCTGGACCAGCCTACACCCACCTTCCAGCCTGAGTCAAACCTGTGCTGAGACCCAGACAGCAACGCCCTCCCCCGCCCAGGCTGTGGCTGTCCTGGGACACCTCCGGCCATCTCAAGAGTGACCAGGCTTCTGCCATCTGCCCAGTGAGAAATGGAAGAGGCCTCCTTACCACAACTGGCGGCACCTCCAGGACCTTGTCCACATTCTTCAGAGACAGGGGCACGTACCACAGGGTGGCCTTATTGGTCAGCTTTTTGGTACCTTCAGAGAAGAAAACCACATGAGTGAAGATGGCCTCGGGCGGACGGGGCACAGGGACCCGGCAGGGAGGCTGACACCCACCACCTCTGACCCCTGACCCCCAAGGCCTTCAGCCATGAGGTACAAGCGTGGATTCCCAGCAAGGGGACCCCCCCCAGTGCTGTCACTCTTCAAAGGTGGCTTCAGATCACCCGGTGTGGGCCTGGGGGCGGGGGTCCCCTAGCACTTGCTCCGTGGGGCCTCACCCCGGAGGCCTGCTGTCCTCGCAGTGTTCTGACCGGGGGAAGGCTGGGCAGTAACACCCACTGGAAGCCTCTCGGGAGCGGCCAGAGGGACGGGAGGCTCGGAGGAGGGCAGACTGGCCTGGTGAGGACCCTCGTCCAGCCGCCTCCCAGGGAAGAGGGGGACAAGCCAGTGAAGAGGGGGGCAAAGCCGGGGTGTGCCAGGCTGAGCCAGGGCCCACCAACAGATCCAGCATACTCTGATTTCAGTCTCACGAGCGCCCCCCTGAGAAACTCGAGGTCACAACACTGCCGGATCGCCCACCTGTCTTTTCTGACTGCTGCCGGGAAGAGCCCGCCAGCCGAGACGGAAGGCAGCAGCCGAGGTCCTGAGGCCGGGGCCTCGCAGGCAGAGCCACACGGCAGCCCTGGGGGGGGGGGGGGGCAGCTGCGCGCCCACCCAGAGCACGGCTGTGCCGTCAGCCCCCCAAGGCCCATCTGTGGACCCGATACATCTCAGCGCTCCCTCCTTCAGAAGCTGCCCCCCAATCCAGGAGCTTCGGGGGGAGTGTGGAGGGGCTGCGGGCTGGGCTGGACGCGGGCAGAGTGACAGGAAACAGAGCCTTCCCTGGGGCGCTGAGCGGGCTCAGGGCAGAGTGGGCTGCCCCGCGCTGAGGAGCCAAGCCAAAAGCAATCACTTGGTCCACACCCCTCACTTGCACGGGAAGAGCCTGAAGCCCAGAGAGGTCAACGGGTTTGCCTAGGGTTACACAGCAATTTGGTGCCACTCTGAGTATAGACCCAGGCCTTCAGGGACCCAGAAATGTCAGGGACATTATTTGCAAAGATGTCTTTTAAAAGATTGCGTCTTCAACATGGAAAAGCCCCAAAGGAGACGACACAGTGAGACTGAGAGAAAGAGAGAAGGTGGAGAAGGCAGGGGGCGGCCCAGCGACCCCGAAAGTCCCCTGGGAGCTCACTTCCCAGCAGGTGCCTCCGACCTGCCTTCCCCAGGTAACGGGCTGCAGCTTCCTCCCCTGAACGGAGCCCAGAGACCAAGCGGCCAGGGGTCAAGGGGTCGGCGAGGGGGCGAGGGGTCGAGGGGTCGAGGGGTCGGGTGGAAGGAGCTCGGCCGGCCGGGTGCCAGCCCCGCAGCACCACCAGGACAACGGGCTCGGTGGGATCACAGGCAGATGTGGGAAACATTCTCACCGCACTCTGACCGAGAGCGAATCTGACAGCTGCTTTTGGGAATAGAGATTTCCTGTCTGACTCAGCTGGAGCCAGCCTGACATGCCGGTATCCATGGAAACACCGAGCGCCCGCCTCTAGACCTAAATGAGCGAGGCAAAACATACTAATTGTCTTTCTCCTTCATTTAATGAAACCATCAAAAGGCAAGTGCAGCATCAGAAACCTCTATTTTAAACTCTTCAGAGCTCCCAGCTACCTTCTGAGCAGCTGACAGCGGCCACACCCAGTGAGCTTAACGTTCTGACAGCTGCGGGACAAACCAGCCCCACAGAGGCAGTTTGCCGCTGTCTGCCAGGGTGTGTGCCCGTCCGACTGCCTCCTGACAGGCCATGCAGCCGGATGGAAGGGGGCACACAGGGTGGGGACCCTGCCTCCTGGGGTGGGGAAACACGAATGTCACGCGAACAGCTTCACAGTTCAGCCGTGTGGGGCCGTTTGCCCGCCAACCACCTCCGTCTCCCCACCTGGCTGAGCTCTGCGCCCATGTGGCCAGTGTTCACTGAGGGCCGCCGGCCAGGCATTGGGGGACGGCAGTGGACAGGGCGGCCACAGCTCAGAGGACTCACATCCAGGGCACACGTGGGCAGAAAGAGACACATCAGGACAGGGAGTCCTTGAGAGACCCAGAGCCCAGAGGAACCGAGACACAAACTGATCCAAACACAGATGACAGCCCGGCCACTGCGGCTGAGGGGTTGAGCGTCGACCCACGCTCCAAGAGGTCGCCGGTTCAATTCCCGGTCAGGGCACGTGCCCACGTTATGGGCCTGATCCCCAGTGAGGGCCAGGCAGGAGGCAGCCGATAGGTGTTCTTTCTCATTGATGTTTCTCTCTCCCTCCTCCGCTGGTTCACCCCTCCTCCACCTCCTCCGCTCGTTCTTCCCCCCTCCCCTCCTTCTCCCCCCTCCTCCGCTCCTTCTCCCCTCCTCCGCTCCTTCTCCCCCCCCTCCGCTCTTTCTCCCCCCGCTCCGCTCCTTCTCCCCCCTCCGCTCTTCACCCCTCCTCTGCTCCTTCTCCCCCCCTCCGCTCCTTCTACCCCCACTCTGCTCCTTCTCCCCTCCTCCGATCCTTCTCCCCCCTCCTCCGCTCCTTCTCCCCCCCTCCTCCGATCCTTCTACCCCCCTCCTCCGATCCTTCTACCCCCACTCCGCTCCTTCTACCCCCTCCTCCGCTCCTTCTCCCCCCTCCTCCGATCCTTCTCCCCCCTCCTCCGATCCTTCTCCCCCCTCCTCCGATCCTTCTCCCCCCTCCTCCGCTCCTTCTCCCCCCCCTCCGCTCCTTCTCCCCCTACTCCGCTCCTTCTCCCCCCTCCTCCGCTCCTTCTCCCCCCCTCCTCCGCTCCTTCTCCCCCCCTCCTCCGATCCTTCTCCCCCCCTCCTCCGATCCTTCTCCCCCCTCCTCCGATCCTTCTCCCCCCTCCTCCGCTCCTTCTCCCCCCTCCTCCGCTCCTTCTCCCCCCTCCTCCGCTCCTTCTCCCCCCTCCTCCGATCCTTCTCTGCCCCCCTCCTCCGATCCTTCTCCCCCCCTCCTCCGCTCCTTCTCCCCCCTCCTCCGCTCCTTCTCCCCCCTCCTCCGCTCCTTCTCCCCCCTCCTCCGATCCTTCTCTGCCCCCCTCCTCCGCTCCTTCTCCCCCCCCTCCTCCACTCCTTCTCCCCCCTCCTCCGATCCTTCTCTGCCCCCCTCCGCTCGTTCCCGCCCCCCCCCCGCTCGTTCTCCCTCCGCTCACCCCCCCTCGTTCACACATCGATTACTGAGTCTACGTGCCCTGTGAGCCCGGCTGCGGGAAGAGGGAGACATGACGCTGCCTCAGAAGCTCACGACACCAGCTGGGGCTTCTCAGCCTCAGCACCACAGGCCTCGGGCGGATGGCTCCTCGTGTCTGACCCTGTGCACTGCAGGGTGAGCAGGGTGAGCGGCCAGGAGCCGCTACTGGAGGCCGGCAGCACCGTCCCAACTGTGACCATCGAAACTGTCCCCTCGAGAATCAATGCCAGAGGTCAAGCCAGGACCCCAGGCGTCCCCAGGAAGCAGTCTGAGCTCGCTGCCCCAGAGAGAGCACAGTGCGCTGGCGCGGGAGTGGGTGGCAGCCCGGAGCAGTGGCAGCCCGGCAGTGTCCCCACCAAGGCCTGCCGGAAAGCCAACCCACCACCTGGAAACGCAGCCGCATCCTCAAAGGAGCAGTTTATGAGACAATGGCGAGCCCTGGTTCCCACGGCAGTCAGGAGTGGGGATCTGTCGGGCCCCCCCAACTGTTGCCGCTGTCCTGTGCCCCTGGTGCGTCTCCCAGACGGGACGCAACGACAGACCTGCGCGCTGCCTGAAGGCGAGGCTCAGAGCAGCCCACCTGGAGCCACCTGCCCCTCCCAGTGAGAGGGGCCCCCACCCTGGGTGCCTGGTGAGGGCCACCCTCTCTCGCCCGTGGCCAGGGCCTGACAGGATGTGGGACAAAGGACGAAAGATGAGGTGCCTCTACAAGCCTGGGAAGGTCTCTGACCCGGCTCCCCTCCCATTCACGCTGCTCTCAGGGATCCCCTCTGACCCCAGCTCCCCTCCCATTCACACTGCTCTTGGGGTTCCCCTCTGGCCGCAGCCTGTGCCAGAAGGGGGTTCAGTGAAGGGACTCTGCAGAGCAGGCTCCACCCCCTTTTGTGAGCCACCGGCTCTGACAGACAGCCGGTGAGCCACGATGACAAACTGCTGCCGATGAGAGTGTGAGGGCCCAGAGAGGCGGGGCGCGCAGCACAGCCCAGGGGCCGCCCTCAGCGGGAGGCGGCATGACAGACCCCCAGGCCGCCACGAGGGAAAACAGTACCCAGGGACCCCTTTCTGGGCTGCAGCCCGAGACCCGTATCAGAAGGTCCCTTCGAGGACAGACCACCACCTGCCGCATGCGGGGTCAGGCACAGCCGCGAGGCGCAGGCAAGCTGGGGGCTCCCCCACCAGGGCTTGCTCGGCTGTGCTCCCGTTTCCACTGCAGCAGGGCCTGCGGGGGCCACCGGATGTCCCCGGGAGGATGCCCTGGTGCGGGGGAGTGCCCGGGCACACACTCCGCAGGCGCCTCAGCTGAGGGGTGCGCCAGGCCAGGCGGCCCCTTCCCCGGGGCCAGGACAGACTCCTGGGCCTGGGGGTGGCCCGGAGGGTGGGAGGTGGTGAGCCGCCGGGGGATGGAGGGGAGCTATCAAGAGCAGCCAGAGCCAGCTGGAGAGAAAGCCACGCCCCCTGCAGTGCCCAGTGGGAGGACGGGAAGGGGTTTCCATGGTGACCACGCCAAGGAAGAGAATATTCAGATCAGACCAGAGTCAAAGGTTTGCCCCGTGAGCTTCGGCATCCACCTGGGTTCCAGTAGGGGACAGGGAAGGGCAAGTAGTGCGGGGAGGCAGCAGAGGATGGGGCACCTGTGCCCTCCCAGCCACTCCCAGCCCTCTGCCCCAGAGGGGCTGCCGGAGGGCAGGGTGGGCAGGGCGGGCAGGGCTCGCTCACTTGGGACCAGAGCCCAAAGGGCTCGCCACTTAAGCAGTCTGTGCCGTTCCGCCTGCAGGGGCCCCTGCTCACGTGGAGGCAGGAGTTGAGGGCTGCCGTCTGTGGACGGTGTCAGGGCCAGCCCCCCGCAGAGTGTGCGAGGCGGCTCCCAACCCAGTGGTGAGAGCGCACACGTCACCTGTGAGGATGTTTTCCGACATCACGTTGACCTGGACTTCCACCGAGTGCTTGGAGGTGTAGGTGATCTCGGCGCTGACGTGGGCCACCTCGCCAATGCACATGGGTGACAGGAAGTCGGTGCGCTCAACCCGGGCCAGGACGGCCACACAGCGCTCCTGCAAAGAGCAGACACGGTCAGCCCGGCAGAAGAGCCCCGCCTGGAGAGGCTCCCCAAAACTGCTCTGATTTCCTCCCACACATTCCTAAACTTGATGCCACAGGAGGAACATCAGTGCCCCGGAGACCCTGCGGGGCCGCTACCGGGGTTTGGAGTGGCCACACTGCCCACGGCCTTTCTCTTTTACCCAGTTTTTCTGTGAAAAACCTACGTTATTTGCATAGTGAAAAGTAAAAAGAGACTCGCACTTACATGGAAAATTTGGGAAACAGCGAACAGTAAACAGGAGGAAAGCCCACCCCCCACCCAGAGAGAACGGCGGTTTCCGTTTCCATCTCCCTCTCCAGGCTCTTCCCAAAGGATGGGGCCTCGTCTGCTCCTTTGCCTCGATCCCAGGTTTGCAGTTTCAGTCCTTAAACAATCGTGTAAAAGCTAATTTATCTTTCGCGGTCTGCTCTTTGCACTCAACAGGAGGAAGAATAACCTGCCTGTGCAAGGCGAGTGGTCCTTTTATTTAATGTCCCTTATCCTTCAACCGGGCAGCCCGTTCTCCCGACTCAAAGCTCAGAAGGAACACAGGGCCCGGGCCTGCCTCGGCCACTGGTCCCAGCCACCTGGGCCGCGCAGGGTCACCGATGCACAGGTGGCCGGGCCCCTGCGGGAACGGGAAGGCGTCTTCACTCAGGACTCAGGACGGCCTGTCCCCATGCTCCAGTGAATGGCGTGCCCTGGTGTTGAGATTTGGGTCAACCCAGCTGTTTACTGTAAGTAAGTCTGTGATGGGTGTCCTCTGACTTCAACTGTTTTCAGTACTGGGGACGGTTTCCTGACTGGACTGGATGACTACTTGGACATATGTCCCCAGAGTACTTCTCATCAGTGGGCAGTGCCTGGTGTGGCCCTGGTGCCTTCTGGCACCAACGCTTATTTTCTTTCTTTTTTTTTTTAATCCTCACCTGAGGATATTTTTCCATTGATTTTTGAAGCGAGATGGGGAGAGAGAGAGAGAAACATTGATGTGAGAGAGACACATCGACTGGTTGCCTCCCACATGACCCGACCAGGGCCGGGGACTGAACTGCCACCAAGGTATATGCCCATGACCAGAATCAAACCCAAGACCCTTCGGTCCATGGGCTGATGCTCTAACCACTGAGACCCGGCCAGGGCAGCCATCGTCTTTAGGAGACGGGACAGCAGCATGGTCTGCCGTGGTCGAGAGGCAGTCAGGGCAGGAGACGGGCGCACGGCTGAGACCTGTCAGGCCCTGCGCCTCCTACAGGACTGAAGATGCGAGGCCAGCAGGCGACGGCCAGTGTGAGCCCTGCCGCCAGCCATCTGCTGCCCCCGTTGCTCCGACACACAGCTCTCCCACCTGCAAAAGAACTCCCCTGGCACCTGGCGAACACGCCAACTCCTTGGCCAGCCCAAGCCCACGGGACAACGGGGATCTCCATCTTCAGCCCTCCAGGGCGATTCTCGGGCACACAGGGTCGGGGCTCCAAGACAGTTATTGTCCTATAGACGTCCCCGAGTCAGACCTCAGCAAGGCAGGAGGCCAGGTGACTGTGAAAGGGCCACGCTGTGCCTTCCCACTCTCCCAGCGCGCAGTCCACAGTCCCCACGCAGTACAGCCTCACAGGGAATACCGCCGGCACCTCTGAGTGCATTCACGTGGCCACAGCACCACCCACTGGCAGAAAGCTGGAGAGGCAGCTCAGAGGAGGGGCTGCTTCTGGAATTACTGAGTGCCCGTGCAGGACCAACCAGAAATGCGGGGTTGCGGAGGTCCAGAAACAGTCAGCTCTCACCGCTGTTGCTCTGCGTGCACTGGCCCACACCCACCCAGGCCACCAGCAGCTGATGCCAGCCCTGAGGGTGCAGCGCTGCGTGGCCTCGGGAAAGCCCCCTAACTCTCCTGAGCCTCCGTTTCCTCATCTGCAAGGTGGGGATGTACCCCGGGACAGACGGTCAGCACTCAGGGTGGCCGCTGGCTTACGTACGGACGCTCTGCCTCAGTGGCTCTTCCAGACACATTTCCAACAATCAGCAGTGGGCTGGAGGGAGCCCACCCTGTGCCAGGCCTCGATGCAGGTGCTGAGTGCCTGCCCGCGTGGGCTTACACTCTAGTGGGGAAGCTGCCCAACATGAACGAACAAGCCTGTTGAGCGCCAGGGCAGTGGAGAACCACCCCTGCACTGGGAGGGAGTGGTCTTCAGGAAGCCGTGTTTATGCAAAGACCAGAAGGCGGTGAGGGGGAGCGTGAGGGCATCTGGGCCTGGAAGAGCTGTGCAAAGGCCCTGGGCGCAGGAGACCAGTGTGGCCTGCGGAGTGTTGAGGGAAAGATGGGGACTGGGAGCTGGGGACGGTGGGCAGGCAGGGACAGGGACTCGAGCGGAGGCTTGGTAGTGAAAGGGCCCCAACTGCTGCTGGAGAACAGGCGAGGTGGGCAGGGAACAGGTGGGCAGGGACACGGGCAGGAGGCTGGCAGGGACTCAGCTGAGGTAGCTGGCATGCAGTGCTGAAAATGTCCAGCAGGTGGCGCCACCAGGGTGGACTGCCACTGCCCAGGGCTAGAGAAAGCGCGCAGGGCCTGGTCTTAGGCCTGAGTCACTGCAGGTGGAAGAGGAGTTGCTCAAGAGGGAGACTGGGGGAGAAGCAGCCTGGGGTGGGCCTGGAGGGTCTTCTGGCCCATTAAGGTCCAAGGGCTGATTCGGCCGGTTGAGCATCCAGGTGGAGTCGGGCCTACAGACAGAACCTCACAGCTAAGCATAGCGTTAAAGCCACGGACTGGATGAGACCGCCAGGGGAGGGTAGATGGAGGAACCCCCTGCCCAGACCTGGGAGGTCCGGGCTCCAGGAAGAGTCTAGACTCTTCCAGAAAGGAGGGGAAGGGGCTTCAAGGTGGCGGTAGGCAGGCTCTTGGCTCCGTCTCTGGCGGTCCCCACCCTCCCTCCTTGCTGAGCCCAGAGCCAAACAGCGTAGCAAGGGGTCCAGCCCACAGGAGGACACCAGGCCCCCTGCAGCCCAGACACTCACCCCGTTCTGGCTGTTACAGTGCCGGGTGCTGATGATGACCCCCGCCTCCTCGATCATCTTCAGGATGGTGCCTCCGTGGACATTGCCGGCCACGTTGGCGTCGTCTGGCCGCATGATCCTAGGCAGAGAAGGACGTCACCGTGAACAATAACAACCTGGGCAGAGGACAAGGTCCTCCCAGGGGTCGGATGGCTCCCGAGAAGGAAAAGGAACTTTCCACGTGTTTGGTCAGGGTGGGCGCTGATCTGACAAGCCAGGCAAGGGGCTGCAGGGTCCTGTTTCCACAGGACAGAGGAGGGCAGAGAGGGGGACCTTCCCCTGGAGCCCAGACTGGGAAGGGTGATGGGGGAACCTTTGGAAAAGGCCGCGAGATGCTGGAATGGCTGTGGTGTTCCCAGCACGCCTGCCCCTCCGAGTTCCCAACGACCCACGGCTGACCGAGCGCAAGGACACAGGCTGTGACCCCTTGGACGAGGAACAAATCCCGGGACTGCCACCTGCCTCGGGACTCCCAGACGAGCGCGGTTCTGAGAAGTGGGGACCAGCAGGTGGACACTGGTCCCCAACGGCCCCCCAGCATGAACCAAACCGCCACCTCACTTCCCCAGAGGAAAAACCACACCCTTGCCACGGGCAGCCATCGGTGAGGAGGGTCCATAAAATCTCTAGAGCTCCCAACAAGCCACTGTGGGGATCCTCCCACACTGGGGACAGGCAGTGAGCACGTGCCATGGGTAGGCACGCCCGGCCTCCCGTCAGGTCACCCACCTACTCCGGCCCTGCTGGCCAACGTGGCCCAGGACAGCACCCTCTGCGGCCCTTGGCTCTCCCTTCCCCAGCTCGGGGACATCAGACTCTGAGATCGGTCATGGCTCCAACCCTCACTAGCTGGGTGACTCGGCAAGCAGCCAAAACTCTCCCTCCTCCACTTCCCTGTCTGCAGAACCCGCCAACCGAACCTGGGAGGACTGAGGGCTGTCACACAGTAACACACAGCACAGGCGCTACAACAGGACCTGGCACACAGCCAGCCACTCAGTGTTCATCCGCAGCAATCGGCCCTCTTTCCTCAGTGCTGAGCCAACTCTACCGCCAGCAGGGCCAGGAGATGCGGTTTGCTCAGAAAATGACTGACAGCTGTCCGTCTCTGCCGCCCCTTCATCCTGGGGGACATGTGGCCACAAAATGCACAGCCCATTCAGGCCACCCGGCCTCTGGTCACCAGAGCACAGGAGAGAAGCATCGCTTGGCCTCTCACATGTTCATTTAAACGCATTTTGGAATCAACCTTGGCCAGTGTTGCTCAGTGGTTAGTGTCAGCTCACATACCAAAGGGTCACGGGTTCGATTCATGGTCAAGGACACATACCAGGATTGCAAGTCTGACCCCCAGCCCCGGTCAGGGTGCATATGGGAGGCAACCAATCGATGTGTCTCTCTCACATGGATGTTTCTCTCTTTCTCTCTCCTCCCCCTCTCCTTTCCACTCTCTCTAAAAATCAGTGGAAAAATAACCTCGGGTGAGGATTAACAGAAATAAAATAAAATGAAGACATGGGTGTGGAAAGTGTTTCACTTTCCTATTTGCTATTGAGAAGAAAGGAAAGAAAGCTCAGCGGGTAAACAGTCCCTGCCGCCGACCCCAGAGGGCAGCCCGCGGGGCTGGCCGACTGTGCCGTGCAGGGACTCGAGTCCAGCCTGCCAGGCTTCTGGATGGCCAAGGGCAGCTGGGGAGCGGGGTGGACGGGCCTCTCCGGACCTGCAGCACAGCGGCTCACGGAACCACGCGCCCGCAGCACGTGGCCAGCTCAGGCAGGCGGGCCAGACGGGGGCTGCAGCAGGCTCTCTCCCACCATTCCCCACCCCTCCCCCTCCTTGGACCCCAGAAACGTCAAGGTCTTATCGGGGGGCCTTCCTGCACCCCTCCCGCCCGCCCTCTCAGCTGGCCAGTGGTGCTGCCTTCACCCAAGGCCCACGCCCTGAGCGTCCGCTGTCCCATCCTCTGAGCTCCCCACCCTCCCAGCCAAGCAGGGGCCAGCAGTCCCCCTCTGCGCCAACTGCTCCTGCCCTAGACCACAGGATACGCAGGCCAGTGTTGGGGCCCACGGCCAATGGAAGTAGGCACCCCCCATCCCCTCTGGAGTAGGCACTAGACTGATGACAAGATCTCTAAAGAGGCTGCCAGTCCTGGGTCAAGAAGTTGTTCCCAGAGGGGTGGTCACCCCACCTGGACTCCAGACCACTTCCCAGAAGTGACACCTGGCCAAGTCCTAGCGAGTGAGCGGGGCAGGGGGTGCTCAGGGGGTGCTCCAGGCAGGGGGCGCTCAGGGGGTGCTCCAGGCAGGGGGCGCTCAGGGGAAGGCCCCAAGGCCAGGAGAGCTTGGTGAGTTCAGACTGAAGGCAAATCCCCAAAGCTGGCCAGTGACGTGTGTGTGTGCGTGCAAATGTGTGAGTGGGTGGGTATGCATTTGTGAGTGTGTGTAAAAGTATGTATGAATGTGAGCATATGTGTATGTGTAAGAGTGTAGGTATATGTGAGAATGTGAGTGTGTGAGAGTATGTAAGAGTGTGAGTATGTGAGAATGTGTGTGAGTGAATGTGTATGTGGGTGTGTATGTGCACGAGTGCATGTGAGTGTGTAAGTGTGAACAAGTGCATGTGTGTGAGCGTACACGAGTGCATGTGAGTGTGAGTGCACGAGTGTGTGAGTGTGAGTGCACGAGTGTAAGTGTGAACAAGTGCATGTGAGTGTGAGCGTACGCGAGTGTGAGTATGCACGAGTGCATGTGAGTGAGAGTGCATGAGCACTGTGAGTGCGAGTGTGCACAAGTGCATGTGAGCAAGTGTGAGTGTGCATGAGTGCATGTGAGTGAGTGTGCACGAGTGCATGTGAGTGCGAGTGTGCCCAAGTGCATGTGAGTGAGCAAGTGTGAGTGTGCACGAGTGCATGTGAGTGTGAGTGTGCACAAGTGCATGTGAGTGAGCAAATGTGAGTGTGCACGAGTGTGTGTGAGTGTGAGTGTGCACGAGTGCATGTGAGTGCGAGTGTGCCCAAGTGCATGTGAGTGAGCAAGTGTGTGTGCACGAGTGTGTGTGAGTGTGAGTGTGCACGAGTGCAGAGATGGGCAGGACAGCGGGAGCTCCCTCCACAGGCCGACAACTGGGACAGAGGACAGGGACCTGGGGAGACAGGGCGCCGGGAGGCATGTGGGGGGTCACCCCCGGGCCTGGGTGGACAGTCGGCCTCCTCCACTTCACTTGCTGCCTGGCCCTGACTCATGATCACTCCGCTGTCCCCCATGTTACCTTCCTTTTTTTTTTTAAATTCACCCGAGGACATTTTTGCATTTATCTTCAGATAGAGTGAGCGGGAGGGAGAAAGGGAGGAAGAGAGCGAGAAACATCGATGTGAGAGAGACACATCGAGTGGCTGCCACCCGCACAACCCAACCAGGGCCGGGGACAAACTGCAACCGAGGTACGTGCCCTTAGCGGGAACCGAACCCGGGACTCTGGTCCGCGGGCCGACACTCTAACCGCTGAGCCAAACCGGCCAGGGCCCCAGTTACCTTCTTAAGCAGTGAGTGGTCACTCCTGCTCAGACCCTCCAAGGCCCCGCTATCTAGAAAATCAGGATTCGAGCTCCATAGAGGATCTGAAGCGCACCTCCACCTGCAGCTTCCCTGCCTGTCCCCACTGCCCTGCGGGCCGTCCCAGCACCCGGCCGTGCCCACCTGTCCCAGCAGCACTACAGAACACAGGCCTTCCTCTGTGAACGGGGCCTCAGGTGGGCACAGCCTGCTGGCGGGCAACCTGCTCTGCCACCCGCGCTCCCAGCCCAGGTGCTGATGCAGCAGCACACAGGCAGGAGTGCGTCCTGCACACGCTTCCCCCGCGATCAGACCAGCTGTGCCCAGAGTCACTCGCCACAAGGCTGTTTCTTTTTTTTTTTTTTATCCTCACCCGAGGACATTTTTCCATTTTTTGTTCAGATAGAGTGGAAGGGAGAGAGAGGAAGAGAGAGAGAGAAACATTGACGTGAAGGGACACATCGACCAACCAGGGCCGGGGACAAACTGCAACCGAGGTACATGCCCTTAGCGGGAACCGAACCCAGGTCTCTCTGGACCGCAGGCCGACGCTCCAACCGCTGAGCCAAACCGGCCAGGGCTCACAAGGCTGTTTCTAATGCAGGGACGGCTGTGTCCTAAACGTCCACCAGTAGGGACGAGGTAGATTAACTCACGTGCACACCCGCAATAGCACAGGGCCTCGAGCAAGAGGGAGGACTGGAGAAAAACAGCAAAGCACAGGGCAGTGGGGACCAGGTGGCCACACCCCGGCCAGCGCAGACCATCTGGAAGGAGACCTGGATCGGGAAGCTTCCACTGCCCTGAGAAGGGACTAGCCTAGACTTCAGGGGAAATGTCACTGAGCCATCCCCACAGGCCTCCGAATGTAAAGCCGTGTCATCCTGCCCGGCCGGTGTGGCTCAGTGGTTGAGCGTAGGCCCATGCAGAGGTCACCAGTTCCGTTCCCGGTCAGGGCACATGGCCAGGTTGTGTGCCCAATCCCTAGTAAGGGGCATGCAGGAGGCGGCCAATCGATGTTCTCTCTCATCAATGTTTCTATCTCTCTCCCCCTCTCCCTCCCTCTCTCTCTACAAGCAATAAAGAAATGAAATCGTGTCATCCTGTGCACATAAACCGACGGTCTTCACAATTTCTTCAGAGCATAGCTCCAGTGCTCTTCCTCAGCAAGGGCACCCCGACCTCACCTCACCTCACCACCGTCCCCTGTACGGACCCTGCCGCAGGGGCTCTGGGGTCCAGCCCGCCTCTCTGCTGGACAGCACCTGTGGCTCTGGAGCACCAGCCTGGGGACCAGGAGGAGCCGCCCACTCCTGCTGTGTTCCGTGTGCCCAGTGGCACAGCAGACACCCTGAGGGCCAGCCTGTCCCTTGCTCCCCAGGGTCCTCCTAAGCCTGAGCCAGTGTGGGGCCCCACCCTGAGCCTTCGTACCAGGTCCAACTGTATGCCCAGGCCCACGAGTGTTGCTCGGCTCTCAGGCCTTCGCAGGTGTAACCAAGGGCATCAGGTGGCCCATTCCAGTAGGACT